ATCAACAGAAATTTGATTCAATTTAAGATTATATAAAAAAACGTTGATTCACGTCCTGATAGCTCCCGATTTCGCCATGTGATTCTGGCTTGATATGCAGTGAAAAACAAAAAGGCATAAAATCGAGAACATGCCTTTACAACCCTCTTCAATTTTTTTTGGTCCTTGACAGATGTGCCAATATGCTTGTTTTTCCAGTAAAATCCTCTGCGTAGTTAATCTGGTAGAAAATCGCAAGCGTGTCAAAAGCTTGGGAATAGCCCCGGGGCTGGTGAATGCCCGGCCTCCTGGCAGAGCAAGATTTGCAAGTCCCCCTGGGACAGACAAGGCAGGAAAATGCCCGCGCGGGGGGGGTTGGAATTAACGGATACATTATTACCAGGAAAGATCTTATTTTAGAGTAAATTTGACATTGCTTCTCACGTTGAGACTGGTTTTGTTACGCATAAGCACAATTACAATAAACGTGAACAGTCAAAAGTAAGTTGAGTTTGATCGTCCGGGTGAACGTAGTCCTGAATAGGACCTGTTGTTGTTGACAGTGACTGACGTTTCCACAACCTGTGCGGTAGTCATCTTCAGAGTCAAAGTGAGTTGTATCACGTCAGTTGATGGTGTTATACTCTGGTTATTGATCTGATTGGTCAATTACGTCGTGATGTCATGGGTCGTCTGTCAGTTAAGCGGTGATGTTATTGGCTATGAACATAGGCGTACGGGAAATTTTTTACCAGGGGGGGCGGTAAACCATTTGCCCAAAAAAATCTCGCAAGTTGCCCAAATTTTTCCGAAAGAGTCGAAAAGAAATGAGGGCCATATTGCAACAACATAGGCCGTCCTCGCATATGAAGGTGGCTCGATACGGTTTTTCAGGGTCAATACCAAGTCTGAGCATAAACTACGTCGCAATAAACAAACATTTGGAAAAATTGCGACCACAGTTGTATTAAGATGAAAATTTTTCATCATCAGAGTTGCAATGACATCGGAGTTGTCATAGCAACGAAATGACTCCCCCGGCCCATTACCTATTTTACTTCAGCAATGATTCCCGGCACGGGAACTTTACAAAATCGTTCACAGGAGCTTTTTTCTCCAATACGGTCACCTCGATGTTCGTGAAGTTTAAGCAAAACCTTATCGAGATATTTTGTAATGAAGTTTTTATTATTAGAAATACGGTAAGAACTGGAAAATCTTGATTTTTGGCCGTTATCTGTAGAAAACGAAGCGCTTTTGACCTGCAAGTGTACCTCATAGTAGTTTATATCTTTTTAAAAACATGTGTGAAAGATCGTGGAGATAGCTCTGCTTGATTGCTAGAATCGAAAGAAGGATTTGATTAGTATGTATCGAGACACTCTTGTTAGCAGTTTTGTAAACATTTCGGTGTACTTTAATTAACAAATTAGCGAATAATTTTAAACCGCTCGATAGACTTTTTAAAAGAATTAAAATTCCTCTCGTAATTCAAACTGAGAATTAGTCAGCCACTTCTTCATTTTCATACCCATTGCTAAATGCTATCTGCCATACTCTGTTCTTCCAGTAGAGATGATTCTAGAAAGTTATTCGAAAGTTTATTTTAATCAATTCACGACTGGAAATAGCCCATTCCAGCTAGTGCAGTGCAGTATAGTGCCCAACAAAAACAACTGCAAATATGTAAATTAATCATGACATGCTAGGCAATTACTGTAATGTAACTGGATTATTACGCCGACTTCAGGTTAATATTCAGGTCTTTAAAATAATTAAATAAACATGGAGACGTCTTTAAAAACTGGCTTTGCCCAAATTTTCTCTCGCTGCACCAAAAATCTGAGTTGCCCAAAATTTGGGGGGGCTGCAGCCCCCCTCGCCCCCCCCGGCCCGTACGCCTATGGCTATGAAGACTCGTAATCAGAAATTGGTGCGTTTCGACCGTCTATTGTGACAGTTAAACAGTCGTCTATGGTTAGTCAAATCGTCATTCTCTCGTAGTCAGTTTTGCTTGATCTCGTCAATAAGTCGTTTGTACGGCGCTGGTAACTGTTGGCTACGATTCAGTGGCGTTTGTTCTAAGTTAGTAAACCAGCTTTCTAAAGTAAGACGTTGATAGTAGTCTGTGGAATACGTTATACATGTCGCAGAGTCCCAGTCAATTTGATGTTTCGTCTTTAAATGGTGCTCAGCAATGTGATTGTTGACGTCACCATTCTTCGTAGCTCGTTTGTGTTCGGTCAGTCGCGTGCGTAGGTTTCTGCCGGTTTTACCAATGTAACAACAACAACAACAACAGTCCTATTCAGGACTACGTTCACCCGGACGATCAAACTTTTGAAATGACTCCTGGGTTCAAACCTTTCACAAACATGAATAGTGGTGTATACCTTGACTACAGAGGTTTTTCATTAGATTTTGTGAGTCGAACAATATATATAGTCTAACAGCCATTACGTTACTACGCATGTTTATGGCATGAACCCCCCAAAGGATGAAAATTGATACTCGTGCACGTTTTCTCCACCACATCAATTAAAATGACTTCAGTACAATGGCGATCTATAGTTCTCCATTAGACCCGACATTAAAACAATCTGCATCCTATTTTTATTTTGTAACTTTAGAATGTGACAAATCCAACAAATTAAACCTTACAACAAAAGCGCCTTTGAAAGGATTATGCATTAACATCGGTGAAATTCTTCTTATATAGAAATATTACCGCTTTATGACTAGGCCTATTTCATCATGATGTGGCATATTTTTTATGCGAGGAAATTAAAGTCAACTGTTAAATATTGAGTGTTGCCTTACAATCAAGCGTCTCTTAAGGAACGGCTTATGGGCTGAACCCATCAACTGTTTAAGTTAATTTAACTATATTCACTCGATCGTCTAACAAAGCAGATGACATTGAGATTACTCAAAAGCGACTATTGAAATATTAAAACTGTGAAAGGTTTGAACCAGGAGTCACTTCAAAAGTAGGTTGAGTTCGATCGTCCGGGTGAACGTAGTCCTGAATAGGATTGTTGTTGTTGACAGTGACTGACGTTTCGAAAACCTGTGCGGTAGTAACACCAAGCATAGCAAATTTTATTGCAAATTTAAACTTCGTCCAATTATAATCCTTAAGGTATTATGTGAAACTGTATAACCGCAATCAAGCACTTTTTCCAATTTTCAGATAAAGTTTTGGATTAACATGGTAATAACCAATTGTAAAAATTTTAATTGCTCATGATTTCCACGCCACGGACAGTGTTAATATACAAGCGGATAATAGCCGGATAAATTTTAACTTTGGTGAAAACATTCAAATTCTACTTTTTTCAAATAGCACTGAAGAGAGTAAAAATCTCAACTGTGGTTGTATAAATCGGTGAAATGACGGTTAAGTGGTCGTCATACTGATTGGCACTGAAATTTAATGTTGAAAATTGCGCTCTAAATTTTCAGTATCTAACACTTGTTTCGCAAATGCAATAATGACTTTAAGGTCCATTCAATTTTAATTGTAATCAGACGATGAAAGCGCATGCAGGTGGTGGACGCGTTAATAGCTCACTGAATCAATATTTGCGGTCTTAATATGCTAAGATATTATTTCTCACCACCAGTTTACAAATGCTTTATGAACAGAGAAGGGTTTCTTTACGGTGGCTAGTGAAATGATAAAGAGACATGAATAATACCAGCGCAGTTTACAGTCCAGACCAAACACGGTGCTCCTCTAGTGTGTCCGAAACAGTAACGGTTGTTCTTTCAACGGTCAGTTTGCTGGCGTTAATGGGGAATTCTCTTGTCATCCTAACATTTATTAAGTCTGTTAGCCTTAAAAACAGCTCTAACTACTACATCGTTAACATGGCGGCTTCTGATCTGGTTTGTGTTCTCCTTAACTGGCCGCTCTATGCTACTGAAGGGATGTTAAAACCTGGCGGAAGTCTAATTACAAACTCAGCTTTCGCTACAATTTGCTGCAAAATGGGAATTTATTCACGATCAGTGTCGTATGTGGTTTCCATTCTAAGCTTAATGCTCGTCGCTGTGGACAGATTTATTGTAACCGCGTTTCCACTAAAGGCTTTAAACATATCTCAAAAGCCTCGCATATTCTTTCTGCTTATAAGTTGGTTGTTGCCAGCGATTTCCCTAGTACCGTACCTGTTCTATACGAAAATCGTTGAAATAGAGAACCAAACGTTTTGTAGAAACCTGACGAGTGTATATTTGCTGAGGATATATTACGCCGTGGGTTTTGTCTTATTCTACTGTGCTCCGCTTATTTCAATTCTCATCTTGTATCCTCGTATCATGAAACATTTACGGACATCTAGAGTAAAGGTTGACAACGGAGGAGGGAGAACTGCTCTTGCTTCAAAAAGACTGAAACAAAGCCGGAACATCATGAAAATCTTTGGATCAATCGTTCTGACATTTTTTATTTGCTGGACACCATATTATGTTTATTTGTTCCTGAAATCCTTTTATCCTTCGATATTTCTGAAGGATAAATGTCTCTTTCTTGTTGGTTTATTTTATTATTTATTTCCTATTCTTAGTACAGTAACAAACCCCTTTATTCTTATGCTTTTTAGCACAAGCTATCGTGAGGCCATAAAAAGCTTATGTATATCTTCCTGTTTGCTTCCAAAACGCCCTTCTCGACGTATCGCTCCTGTAACAGTTTCACAGCAGGCCCGAACTTTGAGGCCACGAACACACATATCCGGATATCGTTGAAAATGGAGATTTTTTTCTCCTTTTTCAAAAACATGCGCATCTTCAAGTAGCGTTATCAAGTAGTTTCTGTTGATCCACACGAAAACGCTAAAGCGATGCAAATACGCCTGTACAGAGCGTGCGCTCTATGATGTATGACATCATCGTAATTAAAAACCTTCTTTTTTGTCCATCCATACAAAAACGATAATCCGGCGTGTGCAAAATTCTTCACTTTGAGATTGTTCTTAAAAAATCTGCGTTTTTTGTGCCCGAAAACGCCGTTTACGTGTGGATGGAAGACTAAAACAAAGGAAAATCTCCGTTTTCGAAAATGATCCGGATACGTGTTAACCTTGAACTCTGAAAATCTACGGAACTTAAGTTGTTCTTAAGAGTGGAAAAAGATATCACTACCTTAAATGGGCTAAGACTCTCTGCACGTGGTCACGTGGAAATCAACATGAATCAGAACTACTTCGTGAGGAGAATAATAATGAGGAATTCTCTTTTTAAAGATTAAAAAGCCTATTAGTATGTGTAATCAAATGGTATACTCGTGAAACTAGGGAATAATTTCACTTGCGTTTTGTCCAAATCCTAATAATTTCCCGAGCCTAGTGAAATTATTCCCTAATTTCACAAGTATACCATTTGATTACCTATTAATATCATGGGTGACGAATTACGTTAGCAATCTTGGATTTTTGACATGTTTATCCTGGACCGTATCGATCGAGAACTCCACTCTCTCAGATGTTTAGACCTTAAATTTGGCTTATAAAGTTCAGAATTTTTCAGACTTTTTCGGCAAAATACCTGTTAGAATCCTTCTTGATATTCTCTTGTGTGTTCAGGTTTTCTAAAGTGTCTTTTTGTGCCCTAACATCTTCATTCACGGCATAACAAAACTTCGTCGCCATCTTGACACTGAGACGTACGAAAGGGTTGCCATGGCAATTTTGTAATTTCACATGTGAAATTACAATTGACGCTGAAATTTCGCCCCAGAATTAAGGAGTAATTCGTCACCTATGATATTAAGGAAATAATATCCCAGATTATTATCTGGCTTGCAATAGGCTATGCCTTGAGCCTTACGGCACGCGCAAAATATAATTTCTGAAACAGGCCCCTGGTGCGCCAGGCATAAGTTTGTGTTTATAAATTAAATGAAAAGTTTACCGATTCAATAGAACGCGTGGAGAAACAATAAGACAAGTTTTGTTTAATGCTTTCTGTATTGCAGTTAATGTCGCAAAACAAAAGTTTCACAAACTTCCCGCCAAGACATTTAACTGCCATTCGTCACGTATCTTGATATAAACCTGCGACAACTAATCTTCGCAAACGTTGTCAAAAAAAGGAAATTCAAAAGTCAAATAGTCAATAAATTCCCTGGTTAGTTGTATCTACATTTATTCAGTAAAAAGGCCGGGTAGTATTCTATTGTAAATCCAGTATTCCAGTCGGCCGATGACTATGTCCACCTGTGAAACTGCACCTCAGAGATCTCAAACAGCGAATAGATAGAAGACGATGGAGGTTTATGCCAATGATAAAAACTTAAAAGAAGTCAGCCGAAAGTGCTATTATATATTTGAAATGTGGGCTTCGATATCTTGTTAATCTTTGTCTTCTATTATTTAAATAAAAACGCATTCAAAACGTTTTTATGATAAGTGGAGAAGGAGGAAACAACAGCTAGTTACATATTTTTTAAAATCTGCATGATATGATCCACCGTGTACAGAAAAGATGTTAATTAGTTCGATGGAAAGCAGGCAACTTGAACTTTATGAAGGTTTGTGTTCTACTTATTTCTTGGAGCTTACTAAATTTTCCAACCTCTAGGTGCGGCCCTTATGTAAAACTTTGTATTTACGAATAACACATCATATTACTTCATCTTATTTTGACTTTTTGTTTACTTTGTGTTAGTAACCTAAGAAGAATTCAATACAACATTGTTTTTAAAATTATACGTCATCTGTGCGACCACGTAAATAACAATGGCACCAATACATCACAGCCACAATATTTCAAAATAAATAAAAAAAAGTCAAATCATCTCAGTCACGTTAGCGTCTAGGCCTTTTGTCACAGATAACAATGTGTGCCATTAAAACATTTCCCTTCTACAGTTCGGGAGTATGCTAGTTTTGGAAGAAGCGAAAACAATGGTCTACGTCACCAACCATAACATGATCAACATGGCGATGGCCATTTTCAAAACATAAAAAATGGTGGACAAGGGAGAGGAAAGAGTATTGACAGAAATTCTCGTTTATTCTTGTTTCATCGAGCCTTTTATTTGTCTTCTCCTTACTATGAATTGGGAAGTACCTTGAGGGCAAGGAGTAACCATTCTTCATCTTGCGCTATAGTTCTTCGCTTATTGCGCGCTTTGTAGGCACTTCGTACTCACTGCGTATGTAATCAGTACATCGAAAATAGGTAAGCACGCTAACAAGTTTGTGCCTATTTCTTTCATTATTTTTTTTTATATCATAAGAAAAAAGAATGCTTTGGAGACAACTAAAAAAGTGAGTTGTTCTATAATTTATTTCCTTATGTTTGCAAAGAGTAAGTTTTACTGTAATTTTCCCCGTTGCTTCTGTTTCTCTCTCGGGGAGTGAGCGACTGGCCGGAGAAGACGGCTATAATTCAGGTTATTGTTTTGGTGCAAGCGAGTCATTTGTGAGTAAAATATCTGTTTTTTTTTTTTCGAATATGATATGATGTTCTGTTGGTGTATGTCCTGAAGCGGTTCCGTCCAGGTATACAACAGGTTTACAAGGGATTTCTGAGGGTATTGTGTCCGCGTTTTCTTCTTGAAAACCCACAAAGTGAAAATCTTGCTTATCATCCCTGATCATTTTTTCTTTTTTCCGCTTCAAAAAAACCTACTGCTTTCAATTATTCCACTGTCTGAAGTTCACTGATTATTTGCTCAAGCTTAACAAATGCAAGAGACTCTTCAGAATTTAATATACGTATTGGAAAAATAAGAATGCCTGTTGTTTTTGGATATATTGATTAAAATGGGGTACTATAGTCTTGTAGTCCACCGGATTTGATCAGAGGTCAGATATCAACAGGGTTATGGGTTGTTATAAAATATCCTCTTATATGGGATTTGATGTATATCCGAATAATACTAAATTATTGTTTTTAACTCTGGAGTTGCCTTCAAACCAAAGGCATTGTAACTTTGGGGATCACTTTTCTCCAAGTCTTCTCTGTGGGGACCCTCAAACAATTCTATTAGACAAGGTTTGGCCAAAATAATAATGATTGCTGCACTTGGCATGGACACAACATAAGTTTTCCAAAGTTCTTTTTCATAGTTCTCCATGGTTCTATTGAACAGCACTTTCAAGAAAACAAAGCTCACACATCAGAGTAAAGATACAATTATAAAAGTTATTAATTTTATTGTTACATTTTGTTTTTTTGTAAATAAACATTTTATTTCTGGTCCTGACATAAACTACGAGCAAGGAAGCTATGCAAGTCACGCAGACCATCAGCAAAAATAAAGTAAAAACAAGTAAAAACTGCAAATTTTACAGATTACGGTTAAGTATTCTTTTTACTGATTAGGGTTTAGGTTGGGGTTAGGGTTATGATTAAGTGCTGTTTAGGGTTAAACACTTAGTTACCATGGTTAGCTTTCAGTTAATTCTTTCGCTATTACCAGATTACTGTTTTTGATTTTTATGTATTGTTTTCAATGAGTCGTATCTGGCCTGCATGACTCGCTGCCATGGCTCGCATATCATACACACTCTTGTATCTCAAAATCTTGTTTTTTTTAACACCTTCTTGGACATGAAAACCAAAAACCAAAGCTTAATTGATATAATGAAGACAGTAGCAGCTGACATAGGTTTTCAATAGCTATCTTGTGAGATGTCTCTCACGTATTATTTATTAGGGAGGATGATTTGTTGAAGACGATACATTAATATAGATGCTTTTTCATCGAGAGAATCTCAATAATTTAGGATTTATTCAAATACAAACATATTCAATATTATGACATAAAATGTGGGCTTATTGCTCATGCAAAGGTATTGATGGGGGAGAGTGTGGCATTTTTAATTTCCTGTTTCAGATTGACCTTTGCACAGCACAGGGACTGAACATATTATGTATTTGGCATTTGTAAAGTATAAACATTATTTGACGCAAGGGATTGAACATTATGTGGGGAAAATCTTCACAAGCCTCCACTCCCATGACTCCTTCCTCATCTATCTCCTTTAAAGCCCCTTGAATAAGGGCCACAGTCTCTTCTATGGTTGAATGGTCATTGAGTGTGAGCTTCCACTCACAAGGTATATAAGCACCCCCTCCAACCTGTTTCCCTCTTACCCATTTTTGAGAGGGAGGAGGGGCTTTTGTGGTGGTAGGTAGCTTGTGACCACACTACAAAGAAACAAAAACACATGCATGTTTGATTTTACTGAGGTAGGGTTGCATTTGGACATTAAGTTTTTTATTACAGAGTAACATGACGCGAATCTAAAGCAACATTTTGCCCTCAGAGCTCAAATATGTCGTTCTGAAGATATTTAACATTTGTCTTCCTCGTTCCTTTTCCCAGCTTTTTGGCACAAACGCGAAACAATGTTTGTAATATGTCCAGATGTTTGTCTACATTTTGGACGAACATCCTGATCAAAATATAAGAAATCAATATAAGAACCTACTCACACTGATTTAAAACTCATTCCACACACATGATCTGGATCAATAAAGTGATTTCTAGATCAAAGTCCCATACATTGCCGGTAAACACAACCAAAAACAGACTTGATCGCTTATAAGTAAAAATACGTGGACAGACTAAGGCATAACCATCAATATAGTAACCCTTCCTGTCTATGGGGGTATATCTATGACAAAATTCAATAACCTAAAAGTGAAAAGGGTCAAGTCAAATCTGAAATATACCGAGTCAAAGTTGGTAAAAAAAAGACCACACTAAAAGGAAGAAATACTAAAAAAGCCACTATCATATAGGTATCACGTAGAAAAAGGCATCAGACTAAAAGGCAACACACAAAGAGGCACAACGCAAAGAGGCAACGCGCAAAAAGGCATAACGCAAAGAGGCATCACCGAAAGAGCCAACACGCAAAAAGGCATCTCGCAAAGAGGCATAACGCAAAAAGGCAACACGCAAAAGGCATCGCAAAAAGGCAATTTGCAAAAAAGGACAATTTGTAAAAAGAGCATCACGTGATAAGTTCCCTCATAACATATGGTGGGATCATCCTCAGATTGACGGCAATTTTCCACTGCTGTTAACGCTGCACGAGGAACCGCTAAAACCTGAGCGCCATCTTGGTAAGGATGTGCCAATCTCAAAAGTAAATCAATTAGGTTTTCCAGCCGGAAAGAAATTCAATCGCTGTCAATTCCGTTTTGGACTTGTTGTGGTTATCAATCAGGGCACTCCTAAGGTACCGAATAAGCACCTCATGAGGTGAGCAAGATGGAATGTCTCGTTCGAATACCATTTCGGTTTGCTTCACGCAGTATGTACTAAATACCAGGCTTGGATCCTAAGTAAACTTCTCACGTGATGCCCTTTTTGCAAATTGCCTTTTTTGCGATGCCTTTTTGCGTGTTGCCTTTTAGCGTTATGCGTCTTTGCGTACTGCCTTTTTGCGTGTTGGCTCTTTGCGTGATACCTCTTTGCGTGTTGCCTTTTTGCGTGGTGCCTTTTTGCGTGTTGCCTCTTTGCGTTATGCCTTTTTGTGTGTTGGCTGTTTGCGTGATGCCTTTTTGTGTGTTACTTCTTTGCGTTATGCCTCTTTGAGTGATGCCTCTTTGCGTGTTGCCTTTTAGTGTGATGCCTTTTTCTGCATGATACCTATATGATATTTAGTATTTCTTCCCTTTAGCGTGGTCTTTTTATTACCAACTTTGACTCGGTATATTTCACTTTTAGGTTATTGATTATTGTCATAGATATACGTCATAGATATACCCTCATACCTGTCCGTTGGCAATTTTCAACGTGTGGTTACCATATATTTTTACTGGGTTGTTACCATCGATGAAACTTTGCCTGAACACACATCTTACACGTTGTAGTTTTGAGGAAAATTAGTCTTGATTTCGTAAAAATTCGGCAAGATACTGAAAACTAAACATAAAGACATGTACTTACATTCGATGCCCGTCAATATAGTGGCAACGTCTTCGAACGCTGTTTGATAACTGTCGATTTTAACTACCGTAATGTGGCACGAAACTGCTCTTGACATTCAAAAAGCAAGGAAAAGGCTTCTTCATCAGCACTGCTAGCTCGGAAGTCCCGGATATTGAACGAGTGGACCTGGAACAGGCTTTGAAAAAAGCTCCCTTGTTTTTGGCGATTATTTTTTCCAATTTTTGCGTATTTTTAGCAGAAGAATGAAATCATGACGTCATCGCTTCTTCCAAAACTGGCATACTCCCGAACTGTTCTATAGTAAATTAGTTGTCGACACGGTGAAATGACATTAATAGCCCCTTCCCCCCCTCCCACCACCACCACTACCACCAAGGTGATAGTAGGCACCATTGTAAGTGGTATTTGGAGAATATACAACCGGAATTTCTCAAACAGCTTACGTCAAAAGTTGTATTAATAATCACTAATAACTTGGAAATGATTTAAGATTACTGATTGCTCCTCCTTTTATCGTTGGTTATTTTTCTGTTAATTTGGTATTGCTTCTCTGTTTTCAGCAACCTCAAAGACAACAGACTCTCTCAGTTATCTGGCACTGTTTTCAAGGGGTTAGAAGAGTTGAAAACTCTGTAAGTCGTATAACCTCACGTTCAGCTTCAAGCGTAACAGTGAAATTTGTATTTCCCGGTGAACCTGGGACGGGAGACTTTGTAGCATGAATTATAAGCAAATTTGAAGACATCTCTTGAGTGTATTTACTTTTTCTTTTTCCACTAGGCTTTAGGAAAATGTTGTTAACTCATATCGCGTGTCTGTGACTCACCCTGTGACGCATGATTATAGCTCTGCTCTGCTTGGAAATTACTAGAAAGTATGAAAAATATTCCGCAAGGCTGTTTCTATAAATAAATTAAAACTCCAAGGGCTTATACGAGAGGCTCCTAGTAATCGGCTTTTGAAGAAGGCGAATAAAGTAAATGAGGAAGAACGTTTTCCAGAATCCACACTGAAGGAAGGGTTCAAGATAGACAAAAACAAAGTCACTGTGCGTAAAATTCCACCATGTTCTGGTCAGTGTTTAAAAAAAGCTTTATAAAAATATATGACAGCTTAGGCAGCGCTCATATGGTGGACTAAAATAAACTGCTGACATTGGATTAGATACTACACTGTATACTCCATAACTAAGTTATCGAGTACCTTTCAGCACCTACAGTTGTAGTCTCCCATTATTTAGTTGAGCCATTTTTTTTTTCGTGTAGAGAGCTCTCAAGAAATGGAATCTCCAACTTACAGGAATCCGCCTTTGCAGATTTAAGAAACCTACAAACTCTGTAAGTTGTACGATAAGTTGATATTTTTTACCAATATTTATGTTTGTATAATTCATTTCTAACTGATGATCCAGCACGCATTTTATGTTCGGCTAAGCAAAGCCTGGTTAAAGCTCCAGTGAGAAAAATGGCAGTTATAATTTCTGCTTTACTACTCTCCTGCTATGACGCTCTTTATCACAAATTGCCTAATAATGCAACATATAAATAGAGGATATTACACGGTGGCGCGAAGATATGAATTTTATTTTCGAGTGGCAAAACAATATTCTACGAACGAGCGCAGCGAGCGAGTAAAATATTGTTTTTGCCACGAGAAAGTAAAATTCGTATCTTCAAGCCTCCGTGTAATGTTCTTTTTATTATATAGACAAAAAGACATCGATAAAATAATAGAGGGACATTACCGAAATTACGTCATCGATAAACTCATGTGTGAGATTACGGAAAATAAACCACTCGGGTCCGGGATGTGGTTTTTATGAATTTTACGAGTGTATATTTTCCAGTAAAACACTCGCGCCTATATAATGATTCGGTATAATTTTTAACAATACTTTCAATCAAAGTGTCAAAGTTTTAGAAATTGGACTCGCGCTTTGATTGGAACCTTTTATTAGCAAACAAGAGGCAAAGGAAAGAATAGAATGATTTTTCTAAAAGTATCTGAAAGATTAATGCTGACATTTATCCTGGTGGACAAGGAGAGTCATATAGAGTCAAGAGCAAAAACAGGTCTGCGCGCAATAGTTACGTTCCTGCACTGCGGTTCAGGAGGCACACAAAACTAAGCCTAATGGGCTGCAAGAGGCAGGATCGAGTTGGTGCCTATAGCTGAAGAATCAGAAGGAATTAGCTTGATCAAATTTCGTATTACTCTTCCATCATTGTGTTTTAGTAACTTCCAAAGTAACAAGCTCTTGAAGCTACAACAACCCTTCTTCAAGGATTTAAAAAACCTAAAAAGACTGTAAGTATGGACTGGATACTACTTGTTACAATCAAACCTCGATTTAACGAACCGCTATTTAACGCAGTCGTCGGTATAACGAACGATTTTCTTTACCCCAATAATGAAGGAATACTTTGTTCTTGCAGCTTTCACACAAACCAACGGAAAGCCAATTCGTCTTGCGGCGATATCTATGTTGCTTTCTGTTAAGGGGCAATTAAAGTCACCAAGATGTAGTGTTACATTTAAATGCATTGGCTTTGTTGGTATCATCGAAAATCACCTTAGCTATTCGTTCTATTTGTAGGGACCTCTCATATAATCAAATCTCTGAGTTATCGAGGAACATTTTTGCTGACTTAAAAGGCCTGGAACATCTGTAAGATGTAATTCTTTTGTTTTTTTTTGTTTTTTGCTTACATTGGCTTGTCTTTTCTCAAAATCTAAATCAGATTATTTTTATTTTCTTTAGCTAGGATTGGACTAATAATTTAACCTTAAATAACCCCCCCGGTTCAGGTTATCATTACCATCTACAGAATAACTAAGATGTTTAAATTTGTGTAGAACTGATAGCCAGGGTTATCCCGGGATAAATAAAGAACTCTAGTTCAACATTACTGCTGTACCGGCACTGGAATGAGTACTATAAAACAGGCTTAGATTTTTGGCAAGGGCAGCTTACCTCGTTTTACTATCAGTGTTTCCCATCAAACCTTACATCTTAGGTGGTCTTGGAGAGTTAGTTGTACAATTAAATCAAACTTTCACACTATGCAATAATGCAATGATGGTTTCTAACAATATGGGATATACGTCATCGGAAACTCGCGGAAACATTAAAGAACGGGAATTGAATAATAGAAATGTGAAGGAAGTTTCCTTTGCGAAATCTTCCGGAAAGGTGTTTCCTACATAGAAAAGTAGATAGCCACGTTGCCACTGGGTGGAAACGTGACGGAAATAAGCAGTTCTATGTTTCCGTTGAGTTTTCAAAATTTTGAAACACTTCGTTTCGTTCTTTGTTCATAATCGATTCTTACAGTTATTACGCGTTGTTTAGAGACCTTTCTCACAACCGGATAACAATGCCTCATTCAGAAGTTTTCAGAGAATTGGAGAGTCTCAAATACTTGTAAGTTTCAATTTGATATTTGTTTTTATCATATACTAAAACAGTAGATATAGTGTTTTTCGCGCACTCTGATTGGCTACTCAAAGGCAGGATATCCAGTGCAGTTCACTGATTTACCTCCAACGCGAATGCAAACTGGCGTAAGTTACGACCAAAATGGTTTCCCGGTTGGCTGCCGTAACAAACAAAGAAATATCACAAATAATCATCACAAGCTGTTCCCGGAATACACAACGAAGATGACTAAATTCGGTTTGGAAGCTTTAACATGTAAACCTTTGTCTGTTTGACTTGAATTGACCGATAAAACCGTGAAAAAGTTTTTTGTCTCATTCCAAATACAAACTAGGTCTTGCGTAAAATAAATAAGCTTAAAACTAAATTAAATAGTTTTTTTTACAGAATGGCTTCAAATACAAAAATAATTCATAACTTTTGAAGAAATTTTCCTTAACTGGCTAAAAAATGCCGTCAAAAGTTTTATTTGTCAGCAAGAAAACGCGACGGCCGTTCGCTCATTTGCGCGCCAAAATTGTCTGAATTGTTGGCCACATTAAGTGAGTAAAAAACCATCTTCTTTGTGCTCAATTATCTCAATGTTTTTGAATACACTAAAACAATTATTCACCTCAGTGTCGGTGGCTAGTGGTGTGTATATACCTTGCGGCTTATCGGCTCGCAAATTACACCACTAGCCACCTCCACCTCAGTAAATGATTGTTATTTATTTCAATGATACGTTTTTTTCGCTTTAACAAAGGTGCATGTTACAACCACAAAGTGAAACAACAAGCCTCGAACATATATTAAAATACCGTACACTATCACGGAGGATGTCTGCTCATGTACACGCAAAAGTTATGACTAGAATAACCAGTGCAGTTTTTCGCGGTAAGGAAGCGCAGTCACTCAGGGTAAAATGAAATGAAAAACCCCTCGCATGGAAATATTTTAATCTCAGCCGTCACTGATAAGTTGCAAGGTGTCAACTAATATACCTACATTTTTAATGCATGGACGGATTAAGGATTTGGCTGAGGGGGCCGCGAAATTTTTCTGTGAGATTTCGTATAATTTTAAAATAATTCTTAGTAATTTAAGCACAAGAGAGGATAAAGGGGACAGAGAAAGCCCCCACCCCCCTCCCCCCCCCCATACACACCCTATTCCATAGGTAATTCATCTCGAGTTATTTTTAACACCATAGATCTCAAGGGGGATTAGACAACAGCCAATCACATAGCGCGAATTTATTCCGCGTGGATGACCCACGCTCAGAGGCACGCGTCCTTCACGAATTGACGCAGAAAAAAATGGCGGAAGACGCGGAGATCGATATTGTTATTCGTTTTGTCTACGAAAACGACTAAAGAGAAATTTCTGCTAAAGCTGTGTCAGCGAAACGGTAATTAAAAAAGAATCGCCCTTCCTCTCTTGTATAGAGCTAACAGCACAGCAGGGAAATCCTTAACACACTGAATATTCTCTCAGGATCATTTATAATTACAGTTTGAAGAGAGAAATTTCTGGTTTGATATTTAATCTTTTATTAGTCTTTTATTATTCAACGAAAATAACACTTGGCGTCCTACTTGCTTTATTGTACAAACGGCCGGTTTCAATAGACCGGCGAAATTTCTCATTTTATTAAAGCACTGAGGTTACGATAACTACGAGTTAAACTGATTTCACGGGTTGTCAAAGAGTCCAGCGATTCCCCTTTCCCAGGTGAGCGCCGACTCATTTCGTTTCAATATTCAGGAATGCTCTCGATCTCTTTACGCTTTCATTGCCTTTCGCTCCACATGTTTTGCGCGGCGTTTAGTCATGCAAAACCTCCACGAAACATCTACGCAGCGCGCGTGGTAACTTTATCCCGATTCTAAAAATAATTCGAGACGAATTACCTATGGAATAGGGTGCGTATGGGGGATGCCTTCTCTGTCCCCTTTATCTTCTCTTGTTTAAGTAGTATCCGTACAGCTGTCAAATCCCCCCACCCCCGCCCCGCGCCACATTTTTGAATTGCAATTAGCCTACCAGTATCGTAGCTTCAAGCGCTGAATGTGTTGGTCAATGTTTGTAATATCCAAACAGAACATGCAATTCCTTAATAACCACCGACAAGGTGATAACACTCAGAACGCCAGCTTTTTAATTCTTTCATTGTCCCTATATATTTTTTGTAAGGTTTCTAAACAATAACAAGATCAACCAGCTTCATGGTGATATATTTCATGGGCTCCAAAACCTGGAAAGATTGTAAGTACAATTTAGCTTTATGAGACGTTGATAAAGAATGGAAATGTAGTAATGTAGTTTTAATACGGTAATAAACAAGCTGTCTCTAAGGAACCAAGCACTAAAAAAAGTAAATTTCAACATTCGCCGGAAAAATTGCACGTTTACCCTTTGACGCAATGTTCCCCGCGAAGTACAACTTTTGGCGAGAAACAGTTTTATTGTAAATTGTCATGTGATCCCAAGGTAACCAATGAGAGTGCTTCCGATGGGACAAAATTTCAGCAATACAAAAATAGCGTGTAATCTTAATTTTTATTAAAACGGAATCAATGGATAATATAATGCAATTCTAGAGCTCTGATTGTCTTAGCAACCATGGTATACGAGCCATCATACCATGCTCTCCAAATATGTCAACTGTACTCGTTGCTTTTACAAATAAAGTCGGGAAGAATTCTCGATATTTTGTGGGCGTTTTTAATGAAACAATTATTTCACTCGCACTTATTGGATATGAGATGATTATAGCCGACTCGGCGCTATGCACCTCGTTGGCTCTCTACCATCTCATTTCCAACGTCCACTCGTGGAATAATTGTTAAATAGCCAGCGTCAGTAGCAGGCGCTTCGAAGTAATATGCGAAAAAGAACGAGGCGCGCAAGGGAGACTCGCGCGCCACGTTCTTTCTCAGTTGAGAAAATTACTATTACAATCCCTTGATACGCAGGCTAGTAACATTACACAAATAGTTAAACTTGTGAGCGCGTACATTGGCTAAAAAAAGGAAGTTAAAGTATTTTTCCCACAGAGTCTCCAGGACAATGCTTATGTTTATGTAATGCTAAGACCTAACCTCATAACCAAATGAACAAAAAATGAAAACGAAATCGCTAGATATTACAATGAAGCTGAATATTCTCCCTAAAACATACGTCACTGTTTCGGTTCACCGCTAAAATTCAATGACTAAATTAGAAGACAAGTCAAGACAAAAGTGATTTAACGCCTTCTGATAAATTGTATTGCCACTCAAGTGTTTTTTTATAGGTATATATTTCTTGTAGGTATCTGCAGGGAAACTTGCTTAAAGCGCTGCCTTTAGAGGTATTCGCAGGCCTCCGGAATCTTAACTATTTGTGAGTATATTCTGCTACCTTGCATAAAACTGCGTTACAGATTAAATTCCCCCGAAAATTTTTCCGAAAAAAATCCGGAAAGGCGTCAGGTTGGTATGAGATCTAGCAACAATGACAATTTTTTTTGCAACTGTTTATTATTACTATTAATTTTATTATTATCATTTTTTTACGAACTTTTTAAAGAAGTGGGAATTTAGGAATACGAGATTTTATTCTTTTTTTTAACTTGTTTTCTTTTTAATATCAGAGACGGACAATTCTTTTTTGTAATGACTTAATTTATATAAAAACTCTGGACTGCCTGCAAGAGTTGTTGACTGCATTTGAGCCGCAAGGAATGTATTTGGGAAATCGTTATTGACACAGGAAATTATTATTTTTTTATGATTTATGTAATGCTTAATATTATATAGTGCTTAATTCTTACCTCAAATATTCTGTAAATGATGTACATATTTTTAAAGTTGAATAAAATTATTATTATAGTAATATTTATTATTATTATAATCATTATTATTATTAATAACTTGCAGAGTATTTCATAACGACAAAAAACGTTATTTTGGTCTCGTACATCATTTTTTTGCCATATTAGTAAGCCTTTCGACTATTACTACGTTTGCAAACATTTTACAGTTTTGTATTCATTCTGATTTTAGGAAGTTAGACAGCTTCTCCTTGTGCTGTTATGCTACTAGAGTTCTCAAGCACGTGGACTGCGAATACCCATTGTCGGCGCAAGATTCATTTTCAAGTTGCAATCGCATGATTGAGGACTCAGGTCCCAGAAAGATAATTTGGTTGCTCGGTGTTCTTGCGGTGCTTGGTAACCTGGCTGTTATAGCCTGGCGTCTAATTAGGCGCGACGACCACCCGGTTCAAACCTGTCTTCTGACGAATCTCGCAGTGTCCGACTTTCTCATGGGAGTGTACCTTATGATTGTTGCCATTCAAGACCAAATATGGGCAGGTATGGGTTTCGATCACCAGCGTTTCGTTGGGAGCAATACAAATTCTTTTTTTTTTTCTATTTTACTGACAGAGCATTTATCATAAGTTTGGCTAGTTTTACAAGAAACAGATTTTGAATCAAAATGATGAAACAGTACGTAACCCTTTTTATGGGTTCTTATCTTAAGGTCATTTAAAAATGACCTTAAAAATTAATTTGACGAGATCACACTGAAAGGAGCCTTTTTAATTTGAGGTCACATTAAACTAAAGCTTGTACACAGGCCCGGTAAAAGACATATACCTTCAAATAGCATGTTCCAGGCAAGTGAAAGGCACGCGCAAATATGAGCTCATGATCTGGGAAAAAAGGGCGGTCGCAGTTTATTCCCTTTTTATTTTCGTGTTCGCTTTCCCAATTTCGCGGGCCCGACTATCACAGAGTTTCGAACACTCAGGCTAAACTTCGACTAGGTGTCAATTTGATTAAACTGTTACTAGAATTTTGACATCAATCCTGTAACGTCATTTTCCCGCCGAAAACCGTTAAAATCAAAAAAGTAAAACCAACGAAACATGTGCAAAAAAAGTTGTACCATCCTGCAAAGTTTCAGATCAAACGGATAAAAATTGTGAAAGAATTCTTTCCTGGCCATTTTTGATGTTTTCTTTTTTTCAAGAGTGCAAAGTGCAAGTTTAGCTATTGATTTCAGAGTCTAAACATTTACAATCGTAAATTTTTCATTAATCATAATAATGTTATCTGGAAGTTATTTTCCGAGTAGAGCATACAATAGGGTGCACAGACAAGTGAGTGTTATCATAATACTGAAACAGTGCTTCATTTCCAGGTGCTTACTTTAACTTCGACCTCACTTGGCGATCAGGAACACTTTGTAAACTTGCTGGTGCTTTATCACTGCTGTCGAGCGAAGTCTCGGTACTAATGCTGACTGTTATAACCGCTGATCGATTGATCAGCATCGTCTTTACATTCAGCTGTCGCCGACTGACGCTAAGGGGAACTTACGTTATTTGCGCAGCCGTCTGGGTCATCGGAACCATAATTGCAGTCGTTCCAGCAAATGATCTCCCATATTTTTACAACGAGGACAGACAATATGGATTTTATGGTATATTCGCTTTTCAAGTGAAACACCGCCCCCTTAATTAAATTTTCCCTTGCTGTCTGGCTCTTTTAATCTAACGGATTAAAACGCCTTGATCAGTCTACCGAAGTACAGTGATGTCGAGCAAAGTTTCGGTTATTTTTTAGAGAATCTTAGTAAAATGCTTGACAGAAGATTGTCATGGCAACATAATACTACGCTGTGTGACTTTTTCAGTGGGTGAGAAACTGTCATTGCCATCTTCATCATCATTATTATCATTGTTATTTACTTCTTGTTCTTCCTCTCTCCTTATCATAATTAGCCTGTCACATTATCTGATATTAAGAACCAACTAAAATACGAAATTCGTATTTTTTTTTTTTAAGGGCGTTCCTCAGTTTGTCTCCCTCTCCAACTGTCCTCAGAAAGGCTGGCCGGCTGGGAGTATTCAGTTGCCATATTTATCGCTTTGAATCTCACAGCTTTCCTTTTCATCATGACAGCCTACATAGCCATTATCTTTAAGGTGTTTAAGTCACAGCAGAGAATCAACGCACATGGAGAGTCAAAAACCAATAACAGCCTCAACAGAGAGTCGGCCCTCGCTCGGAGAGTGTTCGCCATCATTTTAACTGACTTCAGTTGCTGGATTCCTGTGATAATTTTGAGTATTCTTGCCCTCGTTGGGAAGTTCAATGATCCCGACGGAACAGCTTACGTTTGGTTTGCTGCGTTTGTCCTGCCGGTTAATTCATCAGTTAATCCAGTGCTCTACACGTTTTCTACACCGAAGGTAAGAGCGCAAGTGGGGAAACCTGAATGAAGGTGTAAAAATGACTACAGTTTTCGATATTTATATCCTTTAGCTCCTGAAACGAGCTATAGCTACATGCCATAAAAAAACGATCTACAATCCTGGTCATAATTTTTTGAAACACTTTCTGAAAACACAAGAAAAACTAAGTTGTTCCACGAATACATGTACATGTATCGCGTCCCTCTCCTTCCGTCAATGTTAAGGGGTTAGGAGGCGGAGAAATCAGCAAGCGTTTCAACAGTTAAGAAAAAGAGAGAGAAAGGAGCCGATTCCCTGATTGTAACTGAGTCTTCCCACCCTTTCCCTATGGAACTTTCTGGACCATTTAGAGCTAGAGTAGCACACACTTAACACAGATGTCTTAACCGGAGAACGTTACCGGGAATGGAAGTTAAATGGAAAAATTTTCGATGTCGGGAGTGATCGTTGGCGCCATTGGCCACCATAATTTTACTCGGCCGCGAAGCCTTTTTAACGAAAACATTCTCAATATTCTGAGAAAAAGATACTTACTTCAACTGATTATCTTCTCCACCCTTGCCCATACATTTTTTCACTTAATGTTAAAAGAAATCCCATTGAATAATCATAATACGTGAACGTTTGACTGCAGTGGGTGGTGACTAGTACATGGTTATGCTGTCTACAATTGCTCTCTTACGCACCACCCTCCTCGTCCAATATTTACCGGAATTTAGGACATAAACTAATCGATTCGATGCAGGGGGGGGGGGAGGTGTCTCCAAGGAAATCTGTGGCACAGACCGCTTGCCAGTATGACGTCACGTCTCGCGTCAGTAACTTTCAAAATGGCGAGCAAAGTGTTCATCGAAGAGACGGATTTCCGATTTCTTGGATTTGGAGATTTTAAGGTTTCTATTGTCATAGAAAACTAGACTTAAGTACTTTCTTGGAATGAAATGACCTTGATGACCTTGCCGGTCCCCTGAAATAGATCGCGATCCAGCAACACGGCCCGCAAAACAAATTAACAAAATTATACAATCACGGACACAAAATATCAGTACGGTTTACAGAAGCAGATTATAGCAACACCAAAGCTCACACACATTCGATGAAATAAACGACATATAGCGATATTTGCCAGCTTCTTAGCTTTTCCTTGACCTCGCTCGTCCAAATAACTGTAGTTTCCCTTGCTAATTTGCACAAGCGACCCGAGGTTCTTGCCCGTTACTATGTGACGTCATACTGGCAGGCGGAGTGGGTCAAGAAACTTAGGTGGAAAACAATAGAGTTACCCCCCCCCCTGATTCGGTGTTAAAAATTGGTTGTTGGATATTCTGATCAAATATCGATCACAAGGGACCTATTTGCACTTGTATTTGTATCACTAATTTTCATTTTCTTTACACACTGAGTCATGACTAACGAGAGAATGCGTCCAGCATAGAACAAAATTCACAAAATGTTCTGCATGCATTTGGAAATTATTTGAAATAGTTGTCATTACAGTTAAACATGCACTCGAATAAAATATCAGGTTTTTAAAAACGCACGCAAGCGAGGGTAAACAGATTTATAGGTTTTTTGCCCGAACCCCGTGTGAAAACCGCTGACAACTGTTGTCAACTTATTTACAACAGCTTCAATTGCTTATTTTCTAGGTGAGAAGTATCTTAAAAGGTTGGCTGAGACGCATTTTTTATGCTGTGATCTGCAAATCCGGGTCTACAGGTGTTACAATATCCGGTAAAGACAACGTAGGCAAGTAGTTTATTGAAATAATATGGCGAATGATTCTAATAAGAAGAAACCAAAAACGTTTTGAAAGAGATAAGGTTGGAGGGAGGTATGCATATGTTTTGGCGAAAAGTCTCGCGCAATCATGCATGCATGTATTCCTTACTTCCAATAGTTTCATTATCGATTGACAGCTGATTATCAGTTCACAGCTTTTGTTTAGTAATGAATCCCAATTGCAAGTGCTGTTCAATCAATCCTAGTGTTCAGGGGCCGGATTCAAGAAGGTGTAAATCCTTCTACGTTATCGCTCCACAACAATTGCATTTTGCAAGGAAATTGAATGACTAAAGCTTGTTGAATCCGGGCCAAAGACTGTCCACTTGAACATTTGATGTTTCCTAGTTAGAAAATTACCTAAATTTGAATACAGAATGTTGCGTAGCGTTCAGGAATAAGTCAGTGACCTTGTTGCTATTATTTGTTGCTAACAACCCAAAATCCAATCGTCCTTTCGGGCATTTTAAGGTATTCGATGCAGTCTTGTAGAGTAGTCAAATTACCCAAATTAGCGATATTTAGATTTCAGGGGCGAAGATCTACGAAAATTTAAGGTTATTGGATTCTCAGATAGTTACTTTTATTAGTTCCTGAAGCAATAAGATGGCAAAAATGACGACTCAGTTTCCCCAAGACTGGGGTAGATCTCCTTTTTCAATTTACATTGGCTGTTCATTGTATAAGTTCTTCATGGATGTCCTATTTATTATCTTGGTTTCTTTTCTATTGAATATCGTGAAGTTCGTTTGAAACATCGTCGAATTCTGCAATAGACTGGATGAAGCGAATTATTAGTGTAATTAGAGTAATTAATGACGTATGTTTCTAAAATTTTGTTTGTTGGTCTATGCAGGAGGTGAAGACATCAGTGACCAGCTGCAGGATGGCAATACAATTACTATGACTGTGGCCGTTACACCCCCTCCTCCTCAATAACACCACAATGAAACACAACAAACCACGCTAAATGGACAGTCTGAAAGTGCAGGTGGAATGATTGCTGTCTAAGAGAGAGGAGTGAAGTGCAGTCGGATCCTGTCTAAGACGGACAGCATTAAGACAAGCATACCAAGTGTCTGTTTTAGGACTGGAGGCATCTGCCTTAAACAAAGTGGATCATTATACGTTTAAGGGAAACCGCCCACCTACCCCTCTCCTAAGCCAACATTAACACTTACTTCTTACTTAGGGCAAAATGTTGGCTCAGGGAAGGGGTAGATAGGCAGTTTCCCAAAAGGAATTAAAGGATCTTCGGCAAAGAGGTGGCCGCCTTTACAGAGAGTTGGGGAAGAGTTCAACATTATTCTTAGTTTTACAAGTAGTGATTGTAGTCATAGAAGTTTAATATCAGAGGGTTTGCCAGTCCTTTAGTATTTTAATCTATCTGACATTTTAACATTTTTAACTTGTAGCTTTTACAAGTTAAGTTTTTAAAAGTAGGTTGAGCTTTATCGTCCGGGTGAATGTAGTCCTTAATAGGACTGTTGTTGTTGACAGTGACTGACGTTTCGACAACCTGTGCGGTAGTCATCTTCAGAGTCAAAGTGAGTTGCATCACGTGAGTTGATGGTATTATACTCTGGTAACAATTTGACTACCAATAGACGACTGTTTAACTGTGACAATAGACGGATCGAAACGCACCAATTACTTATTACCAGTCTTCATAGCCAATAACATCACGGCTTAAATGACAGACGACCAATAACATCGCGACGTAATTGACCAATCAGAACAATAACCAGAGTATAATACCATCAACCGACGTGATACAACTCACTTTGACTCTGAAGATGACTACCGCACAGGTTGTCGACACGTCAGTCACTGTCAACAACAACGGTCCTAGTCGGGACTACGTTCACTCGGACGATCAAACTCAACCTACTTTTGATCAAAATTAATCTTGTTAAAATCTACTATGAGCCTATAAAATTGTTGAATGGATTTCTTCACCTTAGACAGGCTTCGTCCGCCATTTTATTTATTTATTACTGATTCACTCCACTACATTACAAGCAAATAATGAAATGATATAAGCTAATACTATTATAAGAGAAAAAAAAGTTGTGGAGAAGGAGACAACTAAAAGCATCAATGCGCCATACGAGGGATGCCCCCACTAATTAAAATATAAGAAAAATACATACAAATAGAAATATAAATGTTCTAATTAGTCTTAATAATTAAAAGCTTAAAACACTTTTTTTAAAGTTGCAAAACTGTTTGATTCTCTAATATGATTTGGTTAACCATTCCATTCATTTACAATACAGTTAAAAAAACTATATTTAAAACCATCATTTCTACTAAAATTTGGAACAAGGTCCTGTGTGTCATTTTCCCTCAGATTATAACCTGTATTTCTGTCCTTACAAAATATGAGCTTATTTGAAATGTCAATATCATAATGTCCATTAATTATATTAAAAAAATGTAACATCTCTAGTGAACCTCCTATTAGATAATGACAACAATTTTAGCTTAGATAGTCTAGTATCATAATCATCATCAGACCTAGTGATCCATCTGGTAGCTCTTTGCTGAACGGCCTCCAATTTATCAATGTTACGTTTAGTATGAGGGTTCCAAGTTTCACATGAATATTATAATAAAGGTCTCACAAGACTACAATAAAGTGTGTTCATGGTATCAATATCATTTAAGTCCCTCAAGTTCTCTTAACCAACCCTAAAACCCTATTAGCCTTTGCAGTTATTTTATCTACGTGTTGGTTCCATGAAAGATTACTAGCAGTAAATAATCCTAAATCTTTATGCACATTAACACTTTTCAAAGGTTCAATATTAAGGTTCATTATTACACTCCCCAACTAAGGGTGACTTTTTCCTTGTTATTCGCATGATCTTCCATTTCTTGCTATTGATTCTCATCTTATTCATTTTACACCAATCTGAAATTTTATATGTCACTTTGAAAAGTAGACATATCTTCTTGAGTACTAATAACCCTATACATTTTACTGTCATCAGCATACAAAGCAATTGAACTTTCCTTACTAATTAACCCCGGTAAATCATTGATGTAGACTATGAAGAATAATGGTCCCAACAAAGAATCTTGTGGGACACCAGAGGTTACGGTTAACCAGTCGGTTTCTTTTAGAAACCGCAGACCTAGCAGCCCGGCTACATGCATCTTGCGCCTATGGACTGCCCCAGTTAGGATGATCTGGCTCCTTTTGCGCAGGAAGTTCATAATTGTTTACTAGGGCCAATTTA